ACTTGCTAGCTGGACATTTTAGTGCTGTGACGTTATTTAATTAAAACCAGGTAAAAATTAGGTAAGAAGTGAGGGCCAACAATCATATGGCTTGCTAACAAATATGATTTCATGATGTTCTGTAGTTGTCCCCAAGTGTTAATTATAACAGCTAAGTTCTTTGGAGCAGTTAAATTCTTTGGCTCTGAAAGCATAGCGGGTTTTAATGGGTGTGTCACCTAGTAACTGTGGGTACTATTAAATATAAGGAGACTGGAAAACATGGTAGAAGCAATGGAAAAGTCTGGCCAGCACAAGTAGTTTGTTTTAGAACTATAGAAAAATCTAGTAACTATTGCTGCTATAGACCAGCGATGAAGAAGTAGGGCAAGCTGTCCTTTTCATTACTCCAAAACCACATTGCACTTGGCATCAATTATTTGGCTGTCTGCAGCATGTAGATTAGAATAAAGGGCTTTCTCAGTGTTTGCGAAAGTTGCGGATTGCTGATTAGTAATTAGAGTACCGAATGAAGGAAATTAGGCCAAGATTGAATGGGAATGAAAAAGTCTTAATTCAGTAATACAGATGTTAGAAACAGATTGTCTTGAACAGCTCATTCAGTATAGTGACACTGTACATTTCCATGCTGTTATTTGCTTCCCGTGTAAGGCTCAAGTCAAATACCTTGGAGATGGTTTCCTCTTCTATGCCTTGTGATGTAGCTGTATGGCCATTAATTTAGTGAAATATCCTGTTTGCCAGGTGTGGGAACTAGCTGATTTTATTGTAATACCAGATCATTACTTAATTCATATGCAACTGAGCACAGCACATGGAAAGCATTATAAATCTATTTACAATGTGGCTGGTCTGATGATAACATTGCATTAAATTCCCAGGTGAGGCAATTTAAGCAATTGCTTTGCCATGTGCACGACATGGAAATTAAATTCTCATATACGCTTTAGTAATAAACCAACCTCATTGTTATGTTTTGTGTGTGTGTGTGTGTGTGTGTGTGTGTGTGTGTGTGTGTGTGTGTGGTAGGCTGTAGAACCTCATTCTGGTTGCATATTCTTTGTGTCCCATATACAATAGGCAGTACCAAAGATGACAATTTGTAATTAATTTAGACTGATTTAATTTACGTTGTTCCCAGTTTTGCAGGAGGCCCATAGACACAGTGAGCTCAACTGGGGAATGCCAAAGTGTAGGTCAAGTAGGTAGATTATTTCAAGCCGAATTTCTAGACCAAACTGAACAGGTGTCTTTATTTGAATTTGGCTTTAAGAAAACCAGCCAGTCAGTATGCAAACATCCTGTTCATATTAACCAAAATCTCTTTACTTCTGAAATTCTTACTTTCCTAACTACAGACTCACTTTTGCCAACATTTTAGAGTGGTAAAAGAAACTTGGTACCTCTACTTTCTCAGGGGAAACAAATCTAGCCTTAATGTGTCATATAGAGTTTTTTTTTTTAATTTTATCTGGTTCATTTGGAGTATCAAGTATTAAATCATAGAAAAGTTAAGTATTACATAAGCACACAACTAAAGTGAGGACTACTCTTAAATGAGTGTATGTCTGTGTGTGAGTGTATGTGCACGCACACACATGTGTGTGTGTTTGAAATACTGTCATTTGAAACTTTTCCACCCTTATAATGTAGGCCAGAAATTGCAGTAGATCACTAACTGCACAGAGCTTCGGACTTCTCCTGAAGCCTCACACAAAGCATCAGTAGACAGTGGTAACTGACAACCAAGACTAAAAATGTTGACAATTTCTTGATTTGCCTGGTTAGCTTATGTATAGAAATCATTAACTATTTATAAAATGCATTATGAATTGGGTCCCTTCAAACTGTAGCCGAGTGTGTGACATTTCCAGCTCAAATTCTCATGCTTCCATTTGCTTAAAGTACAGATTTTATAGTCACAATAATAAAAGGGAATATTTTAGGTTTATCAAGATACAATAAGGATGTCAGTTCATTAACTCAGAACCTTCTAAACTAAGGTAGTTTGTAGGTACTTAGCAATCCAACATGGGGTTTTTAAAATTCCATAAAAGATAACATGATTTATTGATGTTTTAGGAACAATTATCATTAAAACAAGCCATTTGTCATTCAAAAGAATTTCATCTTTATTGATTTCTTTTTTTTTTTTTTTTTTTTTTGGTTGATGTTGTCAACCAATGCAGTGATGATTTCAAAGAATGGGTTATGGTTAATTATATGTAGTCAGCTTACTTAAAATTTCAAATGTTAAGAAATGAAGAAATGCCAATGTTGGGCTTCCAAATATAATTCTTAATGAAGAACAGCCTGGATTTGTTTTATTTTTGGAAAATGGAACTCCAGAGTTTTCACGTTGTTGTATTGTGCCCTTCTCAGGGGGAGTTATTCCTGATATTTGCAATGAGATGTCTTTTCAGTTCTTTAAGTCAGTCCTTCCAGGAACCACTGTGTTACGCTCAGCATATCATTTGCTTAATTACATCCAGAAAAGCCCTCCCAGACTAGCCTCTACTGTCCCAATGGTGAGGAACGACTCTCACAGAGACCACCCTTCAACTGTGGGTGCATCCTCCTCTGTGGCTGAGCCACGATCCTCTTAATTGCTGCTTGTCAAAGCAGTGCCTCCTAACAGAACAAGATTAGATATTCAGGGCTCTTCTTCGTTTGACGTGTGCTAAATCTAAATAAGAACATGATGGAACTGAACAGTCTGTGCCAGTTGGTTGGTGTTTTGGTGAAAAGTGGAAAACAAAAACAATGTCCATGTGATATTCTCGCACCCTGTGGAATGTCTTAGGCCCCCGTTGTGACTGAATGAATAATACAAAGGGCAGCTCTGATGCATCAGCCCATCTTAAACCATCATTTCCTTTAATGCTGTAACGTACTTCGGCCTTTCTGGCTCGAGACTGATTGGTGGTGGTGGTGGGAAAGTGTTCAAATGGGCAACGAGGTTTGGCGTGATTGAAGTGTTTTACCATGGACTGACCTTGTAACTTAACACTTTAAAATACTGTTCCGCGTGAAGTCAGTAGAAATGGGCAATCCATAGTAGCTTCAGCAAGAGAAACAGGTTAGGTATGTGCTCATTGTGGTGAGAAAATGTCTGCCGAGTTCACAATGAGTGGGCTGGGCCACTGGTGAACTCTTAAGAGCCCGCACGCGGCTGTCCTTACTGAGCACATGCCAAGGACTCCAGTTGACCTGTTCTCCCCGCACCGCCGCTGTGGTTTTATTTATCTACTCATAGAGACCTATTGCCGCTGCTAAATTTATAAAGACATGTTTGTGGCAGGCAGGAAAAGTACTGTTGAAGAGGGAGACAGACTCTGGGCAGGCAGGGGTGGGTGCCTTTGTCTCTTCCATGCTGAAGTATTCTAGCTGAGTCCATGTAGATCTGGTTTATAAGGAGAAGAAACTCTCAGCTGAACATCATGATCCTGAGAGTCTAGGCTCAGCTGAAGGAGAGCTATCTCTAAAATTCTATACCACTACATTGTTTTCCTCAAACAAATATCTGGGTGGCGTGCATGTTTATTTATATTCCAGTAAGCCTTTTAAAACTGGGTTCTGCTAGATCCAGCATATCATTTGCTTAATTACATCCAGAAGAGCAATAAACTGAATTATATGCAATAAGCCAAATTCTCTTTTATGTGCCACACTTGGGAGAATTGAGAAAATACTGAAAAAATTATTTCCTATGTTTTGTGCTTCAGATGAGGAACCCACTTGAGAAAGACTAGCTTTTTAAGTGATCTGAAACTCGGTGGTTGTTCTTGTCTGAGATTCCTTTAAATAATATGATTTTAAGGTGTAACAAGCCGATTGAGGAAAAGCAGCATTGCTTACTGAGTTCTGTAAAAACTGAATTGAGTCTTAACCATTGCCTTCTGCTTCTGGATTACAGGTTAGTCCTTTGCAACTGTCGTAACTTTTTCAGATCATAGATAAGCAAGTAAGAACCTGAGTCCTAGACCGCAGGAGCCCGGGAAAGACACGACAGCTTCCCTCCCTCCATTTTCTAATTGACCGTTTTCACTTGGTTAATTGGGAAGCAGAGTAGGCAGCAGAATGACCTTTAACCCTGAAGTAGGAACGGATAACCAGACTCAGGTTTCACAATGAATTTTCAGAGCGTTCCCAAGTGTGTGTATTTAGATAAAGCCTGAGTTGCTTAGAGCTGTGTCCCTCTGACTGCACACATGAGGGTAGGGTCCTCGCAAAACACAATTTCATTGAAAAGGGTGACTCTTAGCCCAGGATTGGGCTAAGATTGGGAACGTTGTTTGCTTTACCAGTGTCCGTCTGTCTGTCTGCTCCGCTTCCCTCACTAACATTCCTTTTCCTTAGGCCATTACTTATAAAGGAGTTGGAGATGTTTGAATTACTGCCAGCTAGGGAATGGCTCTACAACCCCTTCATTCCCTGGATAGTAACACCACAATGATGGAATATAGATGTGTGTGTCCAGGCATCCCTGGTGATATGAGTATTAGCCTGGAAATGGAGATTTTTAGCACTCAAATTGTACAGTGCATCCTACTGAGACTCCCATACACTCCTGTTTTAATTAGACTTTGAGTTTTAAAACTATATAGCTACAGTATTTCTATACTGTATTATACAGTATTTCCTCCAGTTTAATGGTTTTATTCATACAACGTGCAGAAGAATAAATTAATTCTAATCTACTTGTGGAAAATCGTAGAACATTAATGCAAAGCAGGAATGTCTTTCGTTATTGGCATTTCTTCTTAAAACAAACTTCCCATTTCCACTAAGCTCCCTGGTTCTGGAACTTTGAGTTAGGCTTGCACTTGTCTGCCAGAAGGTGTCCACCAGGGGGAGTTAGGCTTGCACATGTCTGCCGGTAGGTGTCCACTAGGGGGCTCCCGAGGGCTGGAGACAGCACGCCTCGCTGCCAATGATGCTTGGCCATGCTTACTTGCTAACGTTCATCTCACTCTCTCCCTTTTTGTTTTGTTTTATAGAAAAGGTCACGGATCGCCTACAGTGACGAAGTACGGAATGAGCTCCTAGGGGATGATGGGAACTCCTCAGAGAACCAGGTAGAATGCTAATGTGGAAGGCCCGGTGGGTGGCTGGAGGGTGAAGGAGGTCACAGGCACACTGGGCTCTCAAGCTGCTCCCTAACAGTATTAGCAGCAACTCATGTGGAAGCGATACTGTTTAATGCAAAGCTGGAGTCTTAATCAACTTCAAAATGTTTCTTGGAGATCTTACGTTTAACCCTTTACCTTGTGATCACTGTCTGCTGTCTTTTAAAAAAAAACTCTTTTCTTCTCTTTTCTTTATTATTTAGTACTTAAGGAATAGCTTGAAACACGCTGTTTGCAGACAAAGCCAAGGTCTTCACCTCAAACACATGTAAGAGGAATAAAAAACACACAATGCAGCTTTGATAGGAATGCTGCATAATTAAGTCAACACTCGCAGCAAAACAAATGAAAGTAAGCTTTCACAATTCAGCAGCCCAGCCCTGGCTCCTATTGTGTGCTTCTTAAAATTACATTCACCAAAATGCAAATGGATCGCACCAGTGTGGGACTCGTGTGCATACCCAGGCAGAGGCCCGCCCTGTTTCTGTGGAATGACAGTTGTGACAATAGCAGTAGGGTAAGCTCTGCTTGCCCCTTAGGATCTGTATACAGAGGGAAAGGGGGAACATATATATATATATGTATATATATATATATATATACATATATATATATGTTATTAGGATCTGTATACAGAAGGAAAGGGGGAACATATATATGTATAATATATATATATATATATATATATATATATATATGTTATAATTTCTTCCATAAAAGTTCTGACAGCTTTGCCTGCCTGCCATTCTTCATTGGATGGCACAGTACAGTCATGCCACAAGTGTAATTAGTGCCCTACTTCTTTCTTTGAATTAATGCTGCAGGTATCATAAGTTCACACAGGTATTATGGTACATACAACTCTTTAAAATGTGTTTCAAGACCCTTGGTATAGAACTGATTTTGAAAAGTCTCACACAACCCTGGGGGCTGATGGATAACGGAGCATCGTAGGTAAGCTCTAAATATGTTTACTAAAGAAAGGCAAGTCTCCCAGTGGCTGCTTCTCTACCTATGTGAAGTTCTCACTGGGTAAAACACAACTGTGATTCCATAGGAGGACGGAGCACATCTGACCGGTATGCTAAAATGTGCAGAATGCACTACCCACTTCAAATGTGCAGAACGCACTACCCACTTCAAGGAGTTTATGTTTACTGACCCTAAATTACACACCTCAGAGTGTGAGCATCGTAGCCTGGGAGGAGGCCGGTGAGACAAAAGCACCCACCCATCTACCCAAAAACGCGAGACTAGCTACTGAGCAGGCCATGCGCTTTGTTTACTTCCTTCACTATTTGAATGGTATCAGGCTGAGTTCAGACATCGCTCAGATTCCACTTGTGATTTCAACTTCCCTGACTGAAATGTGAGAACAGCCAAAGGGGGTGGGCCAAACCAAAAGTAAACGGTAAGGTTGTGAGGGTCTTCACTCATAATAGACTAAGTATGTGAGGATGAGGGGAAACTGTTTCCCGCCCTGTAAAAGTGGGGTTGAATGGTGCATGTCTCTTGGATGAATGAATCACAATTTTCTTCTCTAACTACTCTTTAAAGAAGAAAAAGAAAGAATTATCTTTTTTTGCAAAAGAAAAAAATTCCAAAAAACATAAAAACGTGTTTGTGTAGCTTCCAAATCAGCCGTAGACTTTCCGTCGTCTGCGACTGCTGTCTACTGGAGAAGGGACAGAAAGGAGGGGCTCCTGTCTACCCAGGCTTCCATACTGTAATTATGCTGTAGTTGACTGACAGCATTCTTTTAAAGCCTGCTCAGTTCTCTTAATGGACATTCGGTGCTCCTAAAATATGAGCCTTATGTACATATTAGTATGATTTTTATGCCTAAAGAAAAATATTCCACGAGAATAGATTTGAGCTCATATTTTCTGAATTTTTTTTCAGATTGTAATTCTGTCACTTTAAAGTGATTATACAGAGATTTCCCCTGGACTTGTATGAATCAAACTTAGAAATTCTGGAAGTGCTTGGGGAACCTGCAGTTAGTTGTAAGGAGCTGTCATTCCAATAAATACAGCATGGCGAATTACAGTCATGAGGATGTGTAAATGGTAGATTATGACTTATGTGAACTTTTCAGCCTAAAATTCGAATGAGGTGTGAAAGTTCAAAGAGATCATGCTAAGCTTTTTGGATAATTTGTTACCGTGCAGAGCAGGATTTCCATACCACGATGAAGTCATTACATCCTGTGTTGAGGCTCTTTGTCATAATGTAGGAATTTAAATGAGCACATCCTTAACCAGTGGCTTCAAATGTCACTTGGAAATAACTTTTATCCTCTATCAGTGTTATTCTGACTCAGCAGTCAAAGTAGAGGGTCTCTCTACAGAAGAGGTTTTAATGGGCTTTTCAATACATTTTTATAGAGCAGATGCTAAGAAGGTAGGTGTTGTGGATGTGCTCACTACCCACAGTCTGTGTGAGGAACTCTTCTATCCAGACAAGTCTATGCTCACACTGATGGTGGATGTGTTCACTTTCAGGCCTTCTTGTCATATATTTATGATATACATTTAATACACACATAAATCCCGGGTACAAACAATTAGTCACAGGCCCTAAAATTAGCATTTGCCTGTCAACTAAATATAAAGAGTGGTCGTCAGGGGGAAAACCAAATAAATCATCAGTGGCTGGGACTGCAAACGCCGGCACTGCCTTATGCATCTTCTCCATACAGTGGCTTCCGTGTGCCCATTTGGACAAGCATGAATACAGGAACAGTTAGGTCTATCTCTGTGGCATTTATGGCCAGATCTGTTAGACATCTACAACTGACTGTTGGTGCCATAGATACGGTCTTCTGGCTGGCTGTCAATGACAGTAATATACTTGGGGGTGTATTTATATTTCTGCAGTGATTGGGAATGCCCCTGTTTGTACAGTTAAGGATTATTGAAGATATCTTTAATGTCTTCAGTACAACATACATCTAATTACATTTCAAATCACTTCCTCTGCACACTTTCTGACTCACATCTCTTTCATTCAGTTAAATACACCTGTCTCTGGGTTTACCAGAGCAGGGAGAAAGTACTGACTGAGGGCTTGGGCGCTCTGCCCCGCCCCAGAATGAGTGTCCCAACCAAGTGTTCTTCATCTGGCCTCCAGTGCGCAGTTTCTGTCCTTCCAGAGTGGAGGAGAGCTATTGGATGCAGAGTTGCAGCATTTACCCAGAGTGGAAAGCTTAATAGTTCTCCACTTGATTTCCTTTCATGAGAACCATTCTCAAAATAAACAAAAAGCAGATTATAGAATAAAACCATAGACTTTCAGAGTAGAGTGTAGCAATGGTGACAAATAAAAATACTCGGAAGATCTCATTTTGGACACTAATAGACTCTCTGTTTCCATATGCAAAATTATATTGATCCAAAGACTCTGAGAAAATCCTACAAAGAAGATTTTAAAAACATATAAAGGGTGGAATAGTTCCCAACATGATGAAGTTTTTGTGGTAAAGCAATATTTAACAGATAATGATTGCTTAATTTTTTAATACAAGGTTCTCTTAAGTTCCGATTTGGGCTTGCTGTGCGTAAAGTGTGTCAAACTTCAGCTACAGACCAGGGGGTGAAGTCGGTCAATTTAATTCCGCAAGATCTGAAGAAGGTCGGTATCATTTCATATAGCCCCGGCAGAGCAGATCATTACCGGGCACAAATCTGCTCGTTCGTGCTGGGGTTTCTAGCAAAATAAATAGACTGTCATCATAAGTTCAGAAAATTGTGTGTTCGACCCACGATAATGTGTAAAGGGCGTTTAATAGAGTTCAGCATTTATTCGTTATCTGTATGCGGACAGAGACGGCGGTGGCGTTATCAGCTTAAAAAAAAATTCGGGAGTTCTGGGAGTCACGTGATACGCCTCACACACATACACACGGAGGCGCGCGCGCACCCACCCACCCTCGCATGCTCCACAGTGCAGTTTTGATTTTAGTCACAGCAGAAGGCTTAACCACAAGAGATTCCACTGGTTCAAACCAGCGTAAACCAGATTTTTTTTTTTTTTCAGCCCACAAAGGAGCAGATTACCTCTTGTATCAAATTCTGCATTCCGGGTGGGGTTGTGGGAAGAAATCTTTGTTTCAAAAAAAAAAAAAAAAAAAAAAAGAAAGAAGATGTGAATTACCATAAACCAACATGATGGCTTTGCACACTTTCATGGCATCTGTGATGGAGCTAGTAACTCAGTAAATGTCCAAATCACTACTGTTAGTGGAGTCTAAGCACTGTTAATTTTCAAAAAGCAACTATCTTTGTTTACTTCGATGCTTAACTCTCAGCCTCACCAAAAAAAAAAGGAAAAAAGATGAAGATTAGAAACCTCCCTTTACCTAGCTTAGCTACAAATCCCATGTGGAGCTTGAATGCAGCCATGCAGCACAAACAAGATAGAACGTTTTTTGTTTGGAACCCATTGAAAAAGCAAACGGGTAGCATTTTTAAACACCCTTGCTTGTGGCAGGGTGGTATGCCCCAATGGACTCTTTTGCAGAAGAGTAGTTTTAAACTTTGGCCCTTTAAGTATCATAGTCCATGGAAGAATAGCACCCCAGAAAGAAAAGAGCTGTGAGATCAATTCCCACATCGCCTCTCTCCGAGATTTAGTGTTGGCGTGTCTCCACACCCCCCCCCCCGTGATGTTCAAATGGCAAAGAAAAAGATTCCAATATTCGATAGGCCAGGTATCTTAGTTTAAATTTTAACTTCTAGAGAACAGATTTGTCGCTTTCCATGTGAAAGATGAGACACTCTACAGTGGATGGTTGTGGGGATGGGAATGAGTATATTAAAAACAATAACTTTTTGTCTGGTCTGAACTATGGCATTTAAAGTTTGACATTTAAAATTTTGCTAAGTGCAGACTGAGATGCCATACGGTAAATTCTGAACCCTTTGTGTAAAGGGTCTATGACAGTTTGAATCTCCTCCTTCTAGGTTTGAAGTACTTCCCTGTAGCAAATGGAAGACAGAATGAGCTGAAATGCATCCTCGTCTTCCTTGAATTTGAGACTGAAATAGCATTAAATGTTGAGGGCTGTGATAAACACGATACTTTCAGAGAGAATTATAGCATGTTTCTCCAAAGAAATCATTTAATTTATTGGCCTGCATGTGTCAAGTGTTGTAACAGATGTTATAGACACTTGGATGTTTAAAAATTGTCAGTCGTAGTCCTGAATGGTTGAGGATGCAAATTTCAAACGTAGAATGTGTCTCATAGTCTTTTGTGGCATGGGCTCCTATTCTGTCCATTGTTGAAACTGTGGTAGTAATTTTAACAATGCAGCGGTGTTTGTGGTTTAGCATGATGTGAGACACACACCCAGAGAGGGCCAGATTTATGATTTCATAGTTACAAAAATAGGAAAAGGTAGGAGTTTAAAATGTTATCATAGGAGAACTTACTAACAAATAAGAGAGTGGGTTTTGATTTGACTTAGTGGAAACGTACAGCAGTACAAACACATTAAGAGAGTGCCTTGCTTTGAAATGCCCCAGTTTGGAAGGCAAAGATTACTAGAAAACAAAGGAACCAAAAGTCAAATAAAAACACACCCAGTGAGTGTTGTACTGTTTAAGAAAAAACACAGATCTTGACATCAACTCTTCTGATAAATGCTTTTGTTGATTCTCAGAGGAAATAGCATTAACCCAATGCAGCCTATCACTACATTGGGCGCAACTATGGCACTAAGCCAGGAAATAATAGGTTATTTTGTTGTTGTTTTAAATACTTACGGAGCCAAAGCATGAACTACTGATCATTTCATTTGTTGGTAAAATCTGAAATCAGTTGTCAAGTCTCTGAATAGAGAAACATCCTGGAATCTTGTATGTACAAAGCCTCTCCAATGGTGCATTCTTAGAAGAGAGGCGCGGTGAACTTGTTTTCCTTTTTTATAATATAGACTTCTATGAAGTCTCTCCCCTTTATTTCATGATGGTTCTTAGATGTACTTTAAAAGGGAATTTCACACTATTCTCTTTGTTTAATGTGACAGTGTGAGAAAGTGATCTTTATTTGTTCAAAACCCTCTGCATGTAGTCTATGCTCAGGTTCTTTTAATGTGTTTGTCTGTGATTTCTAAATGCTAAACATGTAAACAGATGAATTGTCAGTGTTAATTCTGTACCCTGTCACACAGCTGATCTTCTTCCCTGCCATGACTTCCCTTTTTATCTTTTTTTTTTTTTTTTTTTTTGTGCATTCATGTTGCAGTTGATAAAATTCCGTGAAGAGGTAAGTGTTTCCCAGCTTCCTTTTTTTTCCCCCTTAGTTCTACTGTTTCTTTTAAAATTTATTTCCTAACTCTGAAATGGATCTGGTATTCATTTTTCCAGGGAAATGTATACTTGACAAAACTACTGACTTTATGACTTCAGATATCACCATCTGCCTGCCCATCTTCCTGGGACAGCTGTGCTCCAGCTGTGTTTCTTGTGGGGCACGCTCTCCTTGGTTGACACCGAGAAGTTAATATTGAGTTCTGTCTTTAAACTATGCAGAGTCCCGTTGTCTATTAGTGCTTCAGATCTCTTTTATTTGTGCTAATTTCTCAGTGAACTTAGTATGACTTCCTTTTTTTTTTTTTTTTTTCCTGATCCTGATTTACTTGACTGCAAACACTGCCCCCCCCCCCCCCAGATTCCACTTAAGATGCCATGGGGAAATGTGCATTGTAAATGCCTTTGCTCTGATACAAGGACACCTTGGGGCAGTGGCAATCTTGCTTCAGTGGGAAGCACTTTCCTTTCTGAAGGGAAGCAGCCCCCAAGTGAGCTCTCCTTTTCCTGCATGCTCCAGCCTCTCCCAGGGCCTGAGAAACCTCTGCAGCAGCGCCTGCCACTGTGGCCCCTTGGCCCTGGGTGGTGTTGCCTCCATGAGGCCCAAACCCACCACCAGTGCTCGGAGTAATGACTTTCTCATCAGTAACGCTGAGCTCTGTTTCCCCACAAGGACTTAGCTGGTTTCTGGCTCACTGTGAGTCTCCTGCTCACGGCTCCACAGTAGTTTCTTGACTGAGCATCTTGGCTGCAGCCCTCGGGGTGGTTCCTGGGGTGGCCACTGTTCTTTGGGTATTGGGTATGTTGATTCCAAGGCTGGGAATAGTGCTTTGAACAACTCTCCTGTTTGAATGCAGGAGTGAGCTCCTGGCTTAGCCAAAGTGGTAATGACATGAGAACTAGGAGAAAGTGTGCCAATAGTCTCTCATATTTTGGTTTTAATTTTTTCCTTTCCAACATGGAAGGGTGTGTGTGTGTGTGTGTGTGTGTGTGTGTGTATACATATATATATATATATATATATATATATATAAAATCAATATAGTTACACTATTGATTGCTCTCTGAATGAATGATGACATAAGCATTATTTCTCTGGGAGGTAGACTGTCTCTTTTCTGAATTCAGAGATCATTACCCTTTGCTGAGGAATCTGAATGTCCAAATGTTGCTAAAGTGAACAATACATTGAATACACATATATACAGACACACAGGTCCACACATACACAAACCCACACATGCACATATACTGCATGCAAAGAAACTCCACAGAGCTCTTGTCCCTGATTTGACAGTGACCTGTCAGATAACATTCCTGTGCTTTACAACAAGAAGTATAATTTTGGCCAGATTGTTGTTTTGCTATGGTGCGGGATGAGAGGGGTTCTGATTCTAAAGGTGGAAAATCGTGTCCCTGTCTCTTTGGTAGTATATCCCTGCTTGGTAATTTCTCCTGTTTGCTGTCAATATTTGTATGTGTTTTTCAGTGTCATGTTGATGGTCCTGAAACTGCTGTGTGATAGAATTATTATCAGGGAATTACCCCATTCGGGTGACAGAATGGCAGTCTCAGGAGTAGTATTGTCTGGGTCTTTGATTTGGGCACAACACCAATTCTTGGGATTAGGTGACGCCGCTGAGCTGGAATGGAGACTGCTCAGAAGGGCTTCTCTCCCAGCCAGGATTTATTCATGCTCATACAGTGAATGTTACCCCAATTTTTCACTTGCACCTCTTCTAAGAAGGCAAGCACCTGTCTGTTCCAGAGTACGGCTTTTTGCTGTGTTTGGAAGCACAGTGTGCCCGTCCTTGCTGGTGATGGATGCTCTTTTCAGGATGTGCCTGCCCTAGTGCTGAGGGAGCTGGGCTGGCTGTGGCCGTGCGGAGCTGTTGGAATCCTGCATCCCAGTCTTTCCACTTTGCACAGCTCCTCACACAAGCTGAGCTCCGTCTGAAGCTCCTGCTCGGCTTCGCTCACCTGCTTTGAAAGGGGCCAAGAAGAGGGCGAGAGGACGAGTTTGGGATGGAGTGTGGGGGTGCGTTGAAAGCCTCAGCGCCACTGTACCGCGTCTCCTTTCTTTTAAACGACCAGGGCAGCGCACAGCTGAGGGAACAATGTAAATAGCACAGCTGTTACAAGAACTTGATTTTAGTTTGACTTGAGTGAAGAAGTTTCCAAATAGGAAGGGAAGCCCTGCTGGGAAGCTGCCCATAAGCTGACCGTCCTGTTGGGTGCACATTTTCTCTGAGAAGAATGAGGCTCAGGAAGAAGTGGCTTCCGTTACTTAGTTGAGCATGCACGGTTTTTAATGTGCATTTGGACATTCTGCTTCCCGCGTAGCTGCAGTCTCTCCCAGATCGTCCCACGTTTAAACACTTTATTCCGCACATGGGTAGCTTTTGTTCCTCCATCATATATAAGCACGGAGGAAGCGCCAACTCCAGTATAGTTTTCATCTCGATTAAGCTAAATGTCTTCTTTGAATTTAGGATTTCATACAACGTGGAAATAAGCCCCAAATTGTCTTCATCTGGACTAAAAGGGACAGTTTCTCTTGTTTTCTTGGGTCTGATTGATATATATATATATTTTTTTTTAAGAGGATCACCAGTTTGAAATCCTTTGTTTGGGTAGGAAACAATATTCAGAGGAGGGAAAAAAACAGTTTTTACTCCCAGAGCCTGTATATAAGGAGAATCTGAATTAAAGACACAATTTTTGGCAAGCTTTAATACTATCAAGTTTTATTTAGAAATAGTCGTGCCAAACACAGGGAGCACTATTGGTCTTTTCTCAGTTACAGCCTTAAATAATTTTGCTTTCTGTGACATAAGAAGCCCTTGCTCCTTCCCTCCATTTTATTTACTTCATTCATTTTCTGGAAGGAGGGTCAGTATTTCTCTGTATTTCTGCACTGTATATTAGACCCCTCTATTAATTATTATGGACTGCTGCTGACCTTCACATCAGGTCCTGTCTCTCTGTTCTAAAAGCATTGTTTTAATGATCCCCCACCCTTCCCCCCAAATTTTTTTTCAAGGAAAGCTTTGATGTGGCTTTAGCTGCCTCTAACGTCTGGCCGCATCTCAGATGTGTCACCTGTGCCGGGAGGGAATAAGGAAATCACGTTTTGAATGGTAATGATAACATACTAATCACTTCCTTTCTTTGAAGATGGAAGCGAGCTATTCTGTCAGCATCCCTAGCTGCTGGAGCTTGGAGGCACTGGTCTAGGTGTATTAGCTTAAGTGTGCACGTCAATACAGCTTGCATCTCCAAGATCCATGGGGGCTCATTAGAGCAAGGTAGATCATTTCACTCGACAGCCACTCAGATAATGCATGTGGCACCTCCTTTTTATTATTATTGGAAAGCATTGCTTCAGTTTCAAGTGACATCTGTCAACAACGCAAAGTTGTATAGTTATGGTTGCATGTTTTTCTTCCTCTTTGACCAGACACCAAAACTGATTTGAGGGCAAGAGATACTCATTTATTCAAGTACATATATACATAATCTGCCCACAACCTAATATACAGGTACACATATTCATAGACTTCTAGGGACCTAACTATAGGTACATGTATACCACGTGCATGTACCATTCAGTCATGCACATGGCAGGCCTATGAATCTATTTTGATAGCATGCATGCATGTGCTGGGGGATCAGACACATTTATAAGGTCTCAATGTAGAGAGTTCTCTAATTTGCACATAAGATGTAATATGAAAGAGTTGTTTGTATATGCATTTTTCCCAAGAGTTGATTGTGCTTTTGGTCCACAGTCCAGAGCACTTTATGTTAGCAGGTCACTGTAACCTAGTGTCACATATTTGGGGACAAACCGCCAGTTACAAATCCTGTGTTTCCTGCTCCTTGGTGACTGTCCTGTGTTGTCTTTGAGCTAGAAGTGCTGGCCACCACTTTTGTTTCAGTAACATCGTTGTAGTGTGTGCCATCTTGCTACACATTCAAGCAAGCATTCTCTGAAAAATAAGAGTTCTTATTTAAAAATGATGACTTGCAGAAATCAAAGGACCGTGAGTGTTGGGAGTGACTGTCTTTTATAAATAAACACGAGCAGGAACCACAACCATGTCGCCTCTGTGCTAGAATGGGAGTTTCTCACATTTCTCAGTGCTGTGCAGTAAGATCTGTTGTGTCCACTCACAACGAGGGATCCTTGTCTACAAAACAAAACAAACAAACAAACAAAAAACAGAAAAACTAGTAAGTGGATGGTCCATGCATGTTTGGTTGGAAATCTATCCATTTCTGTGGTTCCTCTGATGAACTAACTGTCTGTGAAAATTCAACTGTAATGGATTGTGGATACCCTCCCTCCAAACCCCATGTTAGGACATACAAAGGCATTATTTTTTAAAAAGGCAAAAAAAAAAAAAAAAAAAAAAAAAAAGAACCTTGTGTCCATTTGTCTGACTCCCCCTTCGTTTCAGAGGGCACATCTGCTGGATAACACGGAGAGGCTGGAAAGGTCATCGCGGAGACTAGAGGCTGGGTACCAGATAGCAGTGGAAACCGGTAAGGACTCTGAAAGTGAGCAAATTGTCTTGCTTATGCACAGCAGTCTTCACAACACATGACATTTCAGCAAAACTTCAAAGGAGCAGCAGAGACAGCAGCCCGAGATGTGGTTTACATATTGGGGAGACAATTGGGAGCTTATTTGCGCTTATCTTTTTTCAAGTTAAAAGGCATGACATCTACTGAAAACCTTCCTGAGGTTTGAAAGTCTCCATCTGAAAGCAGATGGGATACTTTGTCTAAATTCTGCATTTGTCTTAATGTGCAGTTACACATTGTCAGTTTACCCACCCGCAAAGATGCAGAGTGCAGCATGCAGCCTCGCTTGTGTGTGACTCGGGTTTTAGTCACACATGTAAAAATTAACATTTTAATCAGTCTAAATGATAGGCACTGGGAACAAAGACACAACAATACCTAGTTTGCTGGTTTAACTCTGTGTTGGAAACGGCTCCTTTAATGACTATTTTATAAGAGCCACAAACAACCTCTAACAAGGCATGAAAATATCCTTAGAACAACAGAGCTAATAGTCAGGATTATCTTATTACCATTGGTTTATAATATGTAGACTTTTGGTTTGAATTGGCAGTATTCGTATTTCAAAGAAGACCATCTTAATTTTTCTAAGACTAGTCTATTCAAAATAGGTAGGTGTGTGTGTGTGTGTGTGTGTGAATATTTCATGCAATGAGTGTTTATAAACAGCAAGCATCATCAATACCTTGGTAACTGCTAGTTTCTTATTATGTTTTTTTATTTTTAAACTATAAATTATAAATAATGTATTTTTATAGTTTGAACCATTCTTGCACACCATACAAACAACACAAATATATGGTTAACAGAATTTTCCTGAAAAAAATTAATTTGCTGTTACCGAAACATCAAGTTTCTTTTGGAAAGTGGGTATAACGAAAGTGTCCCTAGGTGCCCTCTCTGGCCAGTGTGCTTGCCCTGGCTTTGTGGCTGTCCTGGATTGGTTGCTTTACTGCTTCATCCTAGTGAACCAAGTGAGGAGAGTGTACATGTGTCAGTGATGAGGAAGACTATCCATCCACCTCCCAATCGTAACAGTGTGGTCTGTGGCTTCCCCAGTTACTGTCATACTGACTCTCTACCCAGATGGGGCCCTTTGGTCTGAGGCTCACCCTCAGAGCAAACTCTTGTGGGGAGTATGAAAAGTGGGAGGAGCCACATCCCAGGCCTCATCTGAATGAATTATCTCACTTCCCTAAGCCTGCTCATTCTTCAGTAAAATTCTTAACATAAGAACATACATTACATTGAAGTATTTTATGTGCTATGAAATTCATATATAAAAGTATACATTATTATTATTATTATTGTGTAGCCATTTGCTGATTCATAATTATGGAAATTATTTCTCGTTGAGTGTGAAAATTTGTATATTTTAACGGAATAGAAAAAGGTGTACTATTTGGTCAATTCTTGGGAACTATCTCATTGTCTCTATTGAACTCTCCATTTATTAAAGTAGGGCCTTCCTTGCCAAGCCTCCGTGGATGGCCTCCGTGGGCTTGGCTTAGGCTTGAGCCTGTCTTGCTGTGTCAGTGATGTCAGGGTCTTGAGTGACTGGGCCCTGGGTAGGTATCTCAGCCTCTCATTTCACTATCCGTGTGGTGCTCTCCCAAAACTGAAATGTCACCGAAGAAGATGGCCCATGAAAGACCATTCATCGATCATGATCATAAGGGGCATGGGAGTTGATAGCACAGTGTTGAGGGTACAATGGCGGGCTGTAGAGTCACGTGTGTGTATCGCACATAAAGCCGGGGGGCTTGGGCAGACTGCAGAATTAGGTCTCAGAGGGGGGTGCGATTGAGAGTGGGGACAGATGCACCAGCCTGCGCGTGGACAAGGGTCAACTTCTCCTTCATCTACTTGGATAAGTCTGAAAGTGCAGTGGGAAAAGAGAGGCAGCGTCTGGGTTTTACAGTGCATTGTGGTAGGTACCCTGTCTGTACTCATCATTTCATTACAGGTAGAGGAAGAGCAACACTTGAAAAGGAGTAAAGCAGTTCTTCAGAGAGGGCCTCATATAGCCCAGGGCTGGCCTAAAAGTCACTGTGTACTAAGAATAGTCTTGATCTTGTGATCCTTCCTTCCTGCGTCCACTTCTCTAGGGCAGGGCTTATGGTGTGTCCCACCATACCTGGGATATCGGGACTTGAGACGGGACTCAGAGCTTACAGACTCAGGTCATCCCTTGTCCTCTGCCGCAGATTTTAAAAGTAAGTTTGAAGATAACATCCAGGCTGTCATGCATGGCAGGCAAATTCTCTACCACTGAGAGACATCCTTCTCTCAGAGAGGAAGAACTTGACACTAGGTTTCAAAATGGTGAGCTGGGACAAGGGGAAGACAGGGACGCACGCGCCAAGGCCGAGTGGCTGTTACAGCAGCACCGGCCCGGGGCGGCCAGCTTTCCGAGAGCTGCCTTAGCCTGCAGTTAGCTCCGTACTCGGAGGGTTTTATAAAATGACAGCAGAGGTAGAATAGAACAGCTTCCCATAAAGCATGTTTGTCAATTTAAGAGTGATACTTTGTCTAAAATTATAGTTTGGTATTACGAGGCTGAGCAAACAAGCACAGTTTAATGATGTGGTAAGAGTAATAGGTAGAAGTTTGATACATTTCTTGAAAAAATAGTAAATGTGGTTTCCCTCTCTTCATTGTTTTTATTTTATGCGTTTGACCTTTTCCCTGCGTGTATGTCTGTACACTGAGTGCATGCTGGTGCCTCTGGAAGCCAGGAGAGGGCACTGAATTACTTGGAACCAGAGTTACAGATGGTTGTGAGCTGCCATGCAGGTGCTACGAAATGAATCTTGTCCTCTGGAAGAGCAGCCAGTGTTCATAACTGTGGAGCCATTGCCCTGGCCTTCTCTGGAATACTGTGGAAACTTTACTTGAGCACAATAATCTAGGAACTATTGCCCAGTGTACTGAGGGAACCAGGAGACGGTCACCTCCATTGATCAGCTGTGTATCCCTGAGTACCAGATACCGGCTCTGTGTGTGTTCTCTTCACTTGCCAGATGGACACTTGACACTAGACTCTGCTTTATTGCATAGGGTATTAGGAAGTGCATAGAAACAAGAGCGTTCTGTAAAATTTTATCATTTTAATAAATGACCATTAAAAAAAAGTCAGCTTTCAATATAATTGGCAAAAGTTTTGACAGAAATATGTAACTTTTCTTTTCATTAACTTGGTGATAATTGACAAGATCCTAAAAAGAATAATATCCGGGCTAGGATGTGCTAGATTTGTGTGTATGTTACCTTAATCATTAGTTGCTTCCTAACAGATTACAAAATTCACCTTTGGAAATTCTTGCATCACCGTTGACAATCTTATGTTATCTCATGAAATGGGTACTTAGTGCGTCTTCCAGAGCAGGCATTAAGCAGAGAGCATACATCGTCGGGTGTGATTATTTTAAGTGTCATTTACACCCTGATGTGCATTGACTTTATCAAAGCATTTCCCTGGGTCCTTACCTGGGTAAAGCGTTTCCCTGGGTCCCTTACCTGGGTAAAGCGTTTCCCTGGGTCCTTACCTGGGTAAAGTGTTTCCCTGGGTCCTTACCTGGGTAAAGCGTTTCCCTGGGTCCCTTACCTGGGTAAAGCGTTTCCCTGGGTCCTTACCTGGGTAAAGTGTTTCCCTGGGTCCTTACCTGGGTAAAGCGTTTCCCTGGGTCCCTTACCTGGGTAAAGTGTTTCCCTGGGTCCTTACCTGGGTAAAGCGTTTCCCTGGGTCCCTTACCTGGGTAAAGCGTTTCCCTGGGTCCTTACCTGGGTAAAGTGTTTCCCTGGGTCCTTACCTGGGTAAAGGGTTTCCCTGGGTCCCTTACCTGGGTAAAGCGTTTCCCTGGGTCCCTTACCTGGGTAAAGCGTTTCCCTGGGTCCCTTACCTGGGTAAAGTGTTTCCCTGGGTCCCATACCTGGGTAAAGTGTTTGCCTGGGTCCCTTACCTGGGTAAAGTGCTTGCCTTGCAAGCAAAGGTGTTAGGGTAAGCAGATCACTCCATAAAGAGCACCACTCACATACAATCTAGAAGGGTGTTGCGGTGACCCTGAGAGAAGTTTGCAGGCTCCTTTTAAGAACCCCTAGGGGAATTCCAGGGACTGTTAGGTCATCTGCAGCAAACACGTTTGGCTAAGAAGCAAAGATTACACAGTTTGATTGGCTGTGGCACCTTTGAACGTATCAGGGCAAGCCAGACATGTATCAAAAGGTGGGGGAGGGGGTTGCAGGATCTGCCCTTTTCTGATTGGTGGCTGCCACAGTCCAGCATCACAAGAGAATGAACTGGAGCTTGGGGCCCATTCCAAAGGCTAGGGCCCAGGCAAGCAGGAGCTGCCTGCAGGGGTCGGGCTCTCAGGCCTGCGCTCACACTTGCCTAGGGTGCCCTGCTCCAATGCAGCTTGGTGCTGGTGCTGGCTTCACACTGCCTCCCCACTGTGCCTGCTGGGCTAGCAAGCAGGTGACCTCAGGTGTCCCTAGCAACCATGCTCTGCACCGATGCCGCTTAAGGATCTAAGGTCAAAACCCTTAATCTGTGTTTAAAAAAAAACCTGGTGAAGTGTTGTAGATATGTGGATCCATGGGGCTTGCTAGTCTGACATCAAGGAAGACAATTGGCAGATGCATTCATAAATTTTGGAAGTAGTCATCATGGACTGGATATGGTTCTGCTTGCATGAAGCATTGGGCTGACCCAGTTTGGTGTGGCTTCTGAGTCCCCATCCAGAATCTTCCAAGAGAAAATAACTGTCCCTTTCTCTAGTTACTAACAGATATCATTTCTAGCTGTGGTGCTATCCATTTTGTTGATGGTCAGGACTTAAACGATGGGTCATCTGCTCTCTACTCTCAAGTTGTAATCCCCACCCCAAATACATATTTCATGATCACAGTCAACACAAAACTGTCAGAAGCAGTGTGATCAGTTAAGAGGCCGAGAGAAA